GAAACGTGGAGCAGAAGGAAGTGGAGTTATACCCGATGAAAAACGAAAACCGTCGGAACGTGTAACTCCGGCCGCTCTTTTGGCCACTTGTCCGCTTGAGGAGGTTTGTTTTTCGTTTATCTCTTGTGTCGCATTTTAACTGTAAAGAGCTAATAACAATTGTCTTCGGACAAAACTTGGTTTTTTGCGCAGTTCGGTTGGTAAGGACCAATGTGAATTGAGTAAACAGGGATATAATGTAGCAGCCCATATTGCATGTGGCATTCCCATATGGCTCTTCATTATTCACAATGTATTTTTGCTGATTATCGACGGAAATTATAATATTTTCGATAAACCTAAGCTAACAATGGGATTTTTCGTTTTTGAAATCGGGGTTGGGATTTACGTTTTTAAGAGTCCAAAAGTTTTGAAACCCTTGATCATTGCTGCAAAAATCTTTAAAAATAACAGCCCTAAATTTCATCCAAAATTTATAATTCAGTTATTGCTCGCTTTCCGGCATTTCCATTAGCCGTACCGCGCCTCGCATTTTGCTTCCACGGTACGTACAGCCGCTAACCGCTAATCACAGCGGCTGGAGTTGAGTGCTGTTTTTATTGCTAAGCAACATAAAACAGTCGTTGTTGCCACACAACAAACCACGGGAAACCATCAAGACTGTGAAATGACTGGGGGATCATCGACTCATTTTCTTGTGCGCCGCATATCTCACTGGTTTTCGGTCTTTCAGTCAGACGATGAGGAGAACGAAGATTGAATGAAACGTTGGCCGTCGGATTTCTCACATTTATATCTGTAAGGTGGATGTTTGTATTGTTCATAAAGGCTGTTGCAGACATTGTTTAGTGTCAGATTCCCCGCTTGTCGGCTGCTTTAGCTGGGATGTGAAAAAAGAAAAAAGTGGTTTTTTCCTCCAAAAGAAACTTTTTGCGTCATTGCTTGCGAATAATTCTTTGTAACTTTTTTCTGACGGATTTTATTCTCTTGTAAGTAGTGTCGTCAAATCTGTACCCTGAGGAGGTTCATTTTCTGTAACTTGTCTGCACAGATAATAGGCTTTTTTTTTCTTTGTAACAGTGTTGTGAATTTTTTTTTGTAACAAATTTTGGTCGTTTATGAGTTTTTCATTACCTGTATTGTCAATCGTAACATCTCTGTGATGCATTCGACCAGTGATTGTATTGTAACTGCCATGAGCAGTGGTAAAAAGTGAAAAAAGTATACGATTGGCTCAAAAAAAAGACTGAAATGATAAAGTGATGCAGAAAAGATGATGTACAAGAGCAGAATGTTAAAAAAAAAGAACAAAATACCGGGCAAAAAAAAAAGAAAAAACTGTGATACGACAGAATGGAGCCAGTGAAGATGAAGCCCGAGAACGCAAAAAGCGATGAACACACCTGTGATGTAGTTATTATGCACACACCTGTTTGCCTTATTTTCGTTTCTTGTAGAACTCGAGTAGTTCTGGGTTCTTCCTTTGACTCGAATCGTAGCTCGTTCTTGTAGTCTGGGTCCCGGTACTTCCTCTTCAGTGCAGCTTTTGCAGAATTCTTGCTAGCAAGCTGACAGATACAGCCAAAAATGACCAGGTTTGGAGGTGGGAGGGTATGGAGAGCGGATTTTTCGGAGCTGCGTGTCCTAGCCATGTCTCATCTCCAAGTTCGTGATCTTCATAATGCTTTTTTTGTGCACTGAAAGTTCACTGGAGAACTGCATAAGAGTACTGAGATTCTGTGAGTCACGTACTGGAGAGTGGTACCAACGAGGGAATGAGCAGACGCCGGAGTAGTCCTTGAGGGGGCGTTTATAAATTAATCATAGACGGAGGAGGAGGGTGTACTGGAAGAAGTATACAGTCTGAGGATCTAGAAATTGGCATAGTTGTTGCTGCTGTGTCTGGGGATTATGCCACTGCTTTCTTTGATTGATATAGAACCCACTGTTTTCGGTGAAACGATACGTGAGATACGCTGCTCAATGTGCTTTAGATTTGTGAACCTCACTGTGTCAGAGATTGAGAATACTTTAAGTACGAAGCATCGGTCCAACGACTTTTAGGTCAGACTGCCTTTTTGGCGAGTTCCATTGCTCAGGGCTTTTTTTCGTGAGAGCTTCTGACCAGTTGTTCTTTGTTCACTCGTCACCTTCCGTTCCTGAAGTCAGTCAGCTGGTCAGTATTTCCGTCGCCTTAGCCAGCGGTTCAAGTTGATCGTTGCATCTCACTGACCGGCATTCCCGGTTTTCGTTTGGAAATTTCGCACTTTCGTTGTCTGATCATCTTTCGTTTATCCTGGTTGCGGGTCCAAATAGTTTAGTGCAAGATGCATACACCGCATTGTTTTCATTCCTAGGTTTTTATTCGTTTTTGCTTTTTTCATTTTATGTTGTAAATGTTCGTATGTTTGATGCTTTCACAGAAGTGAGACAGACGGCTGTTTTTGTTGATCATTATTGTGCGAGGACTTTGTTGAAAAGCAGATAGTTCTGTGCCGAGAGAAATTCGCTTCTGAGCGTTTAGTTGGCAACTTCTCCATTCTTCGCTGAACTGAAGCCGAAGAGCTCTCCTCTGTGAAAGTAGGAACTTTTTTTTTCATTTTGGCAACTGTTTCTCTGATCTCGCTGCACAGCTAGCCGGTTTTGATTTGGACAAAGTGAACTATTCGGGAATTGTTTTTTGTTTTTTTGTTTTCCAAAAGATAACCAACGCTGCTACTACTGTGGAACGTTTTTTTGTTCAGAAACAATAAAAAATATTTTTTAGCCCGTGCTTTTAGAATTGCTAGCAAATTGATCACAAATCTAGCATGAAGAAGGTGGGAAAAATCACAGTGTGTTCCCCTCATGTCGCATCCGTTTTTCGGTAATTTATGATTTTTTATACGTTTTGTGCTGTGTAACAACAGTACAAAACGCATATTG